TGTGGGAAGAATCCATTACAAGAAATACAAGTATTAGTTTGTTCTACTCTGAATATTAAAATTCGGTGCTAATGAATCAGGCATTACATAACGTAACATAGCCGGCCCGAAAATCTTATCCGGGCTATGGAGAGATGTTAGGTGGGGTTTATACCAACTCTTGTAACTAGAATAGGTAATTCGGAAGCGATAATTGGGACAAGTAAAGAGAATAGATAAGTCACGGTTCTGAGGGTTGTTACGTATTCTCACGGGTCGCTAGACGCACGTAGCAAACACGACAGAATACATAGTGCTCACTTTTAATTCATTTAATTTTTCATTTATCGTAGAACAATTTATGTTTCACTCGTGCATTTGTCACTGAGAGTATGACGCAATGTTGTTTTAATTTCTAAATTAACATAGGAGATAGACAGCAGATAAATATAAGGTTAAATTCTGTAACAAGAAACTATGAGTATATAGGTCTATACACGTAGGTAAGTCAGTAAGTAAGTTACAAATGGATATAGAACTTAAACAAATAAGAGTACTGATTTGAAAAATGCTTTTATTACTCAACATAATCTCCCTGTACACTGAGGCACTTGTCTCATCGTTTCACAAGCCCCTGAATATCAGCAGTATAAAATTCTTTGGGCTACTGTCGGAACCAGGTGTGTTCACAAGGCATGGCTAACCTCATAATGCATGACAGGTTAGGCTTTCACAAAGTCTGTGCACAATGGGTGCCGCGCATGATGACCCCACAACACAAAATGCAAAAATGGATCTGGCATTACAGCATCTCAATCGCTACCTCGATGAAGGGCACGATATGCTAGCCCGAATTGTCACAGGTGATGAATCTTGGGTTCACCATTACAAGCCCGAGACAAAGCGTGCGTCAATGCAGTGGAAACTTCCTGCGTCGCCTGCCAAAAAAAAGTTTAACGTGACACCATCCTCCAAGAAAGTGACGCTCACAGTCTTCTGGTATCACGAAGGCATACTGCTCACCGCATTCCAGCCGCAAGGCGACACAGGATGTTTCCACTGCATTGACGCACGCTTTGTCTCGGGCTGGTAATGGTGAGCCCAAGACTCATCACCTGTGACAATTCGGGCTAGCATATCGTGTCCTTCATCATGGTAGCGATTGAGATGCTGTAATGCCAGACCAATTCTTTGCATTTTGTGTTGTGAGGTCATCATGCGCGGCACCCATTGTGCACAGACTTTGTGAAAACCTAACCTGTCATGCATTATGAGGTAGGCCATGCCGTGTGAACACGCCTGGTTCCGACGGTGTGTATAGTTGCTGAGAAAATGTTTCCTCTTAATGAATTCCAAAATAACAATTTTGCATCCTGCTTCCAAATTGAGAAGTCCTGTGACGTCAGAAGCCGATACAAATCTCCGTTAACAACTGGCTTATCTGAACAAATCCACTAAACCCACTACAACGCTGCTGGTCAAACAAGCTAAAACTGTATTGCAGGTCTCAACGGGAATTTAGAATTGTTACCGCACTAATCTCTGAAGACACCATGATGTGAGGATAATAAATGGGACAAATCCAGCCATGTTGGGAGCAGAGTGCTTCCGGAAGATTTCCCTGATGTCCGCAATGTTACATCACTTCTACCTAGCAACAGTCTAATGCAAAATCTTCATAAATACAAGTCATCCGGATAATGCAATATTTTCGGATCATAATAATAAAACGAAATGGATTATTTTAATTAATAATACCAGTCCAACCAAATGAAGCAAATTGAAAATAGAAAGCCTATTAAGTAACATATATTCTGGACAGCTATTTTACCTAATCCTTAACATCAGATTTATTTACCCGTAGACTTGGAGTTTTGGCGACTTGTAAGTAGCTTCTTCCAGAGGGGAGACTGTTTGGGGCCCGGTATTTTCTTCGCCAGTCTCGCCATATGGCGCGTCTTAATGGTGAAGTAGGCCCAAATTAAGATAAAGATGGCGACAAAGAGGTTCAGCGTGATGATCAACATCTTGTGTTGACTATTGAATGCACGTCTGCAGGTCTGGAAAATATACCCTTAAATTAGTTCGGCGTTATGTGAATTTTTAATGAAAGTCACTGCACTGGAGCCCATGAATTAGTATCAAAGCGCGGACACTCGGGTCTCTTTAATCCGGATGAATATCCTAATGACCTAATGGACGTTCTGTAATGTGGTAAAGTGACGTCACCACATATTGTATTTTATAAGATTTAATGATGTTTTCTCACATTAATTGGGCATATGATATTGTGAGATACCCTAGATACATAGCATAGAACGGCACAATAAGCCTAATATAAACAGATATTTCGCAAGTTGAAAATGAAGTCATCTTAGCTGCACACAGCACTAAGAGTGACGTTATGGTTCTGAGAATTAGCTGTAAAATCCAGGGGCCATACTCTCCTTATAAGGAGATGGACGTTATGAAGTCACCTGATTTTGCCACGCCCGAAGACAATACTATAGAAGGGCTGGCATTGTAACCATTCGAGGTAATGTAAAACCATTAAGCTAGTGCAACACGCACTGTGCGCTTGAGAGCACACTGCTCTCGTAAAGTCAGGGGTTTGATTCCTGTTTTATACTTATTTCATGTCTTGATCCAGTAAAGTGTTTGGTTTCACCTCACAAGTTCGTGTCGTCTACCTTATTTCACACATCCGAATCTTCAAGGAGATTTCGCCTACCTGCACGCCCAACGCTTCGGTTCACAACACGCTATACGACTTCGGCAGGCAGAGTTCAACATCACAGTTGGCCAGCGCATCTTACCTGTTGGAGTAGTGCGGTAACATCGCACCTCTCTTGGTGCAGTATCACCAAGTGGTGGCAGCTATTCACGTTACCTTCTACGTCCCCAGACGCAGTGACAAACTCCTAACATCCTGAGTTCGCGTGTGAATCACCATCCTCACACACGCGAAAGTAAACAAACCACATTACAGTTCTGACTTTCACAAACAATAAATAATTTATGTATTTTAAATAAAGACATTCCGCAACTGTAGAAGGGATGTCATTGTAGGCCTACCGAAGCTATTATTTACAATGTATAATATTAAAATGGCTGTTTGGACAACTATTACTTTCGTTGTTATTTTGTTAGAGATGTCCTCGAAATTAATGATCTTTGGTAAAATATGGTGTATTAGAGAAAAAACGTGCTTATGTAATTATTACTTCAATTTTAAGGCAGATTTTTTCTCGGAGGTATGTTTATGAAACGTTTGCTATTTTATTTATGAGTGTAAGTATCGTCGGCCTTAAAACGAATTATGAATGAATGACACAAAAATTCTTATAATTGAAGCGTAACTACGTCAGATTTCATAAAACTCTGTCAAACGAGAACAAAGAACAATGCAGTTTGAAAGTTCATTTAGCACCTCCAGTTACCTCGAATAGTGGTCATGTAACCCAGCAGGTCTACATGTTTTTTTTTTCGTCAGAACATTTCTGAGAGAATAATAAAGTTTGATTTGAAATTCATATAACGCGATTGATCTGGCTCAGGATAGGAGTAAATGAACACGGTAATGAACCTTCGGGTTCCATAAAATGCTGGGAAATTCTTGAGTAGCTATAGATTTTGAGGCTCCTGAAGAAGGGCTCAGCTCCATAAGTAAATAAGAGTTTGACCCATAATATTTCGTCGATACGAACCAAAATTGTCTCTGGAACCTTCAGTTCAGACCACAAAACCTAATTTAATGGAACCTCAAAATGACAGAAAACTTGTCTCTACTTAATCCCTCCGCTTATAGTGACACTTGCCCTCGGCCCATGCAGTAACATTGGCCGTGTGCACTCGGCCAATAGAATATCCGTAATTTCTACTCTTTACGTGGGTCTGCAACTCCTGTCGCATGAAGCCAACTCCAAATTTTAACTAGGCCTAAATTACTACGAAACAGATATAAAATACACTTTCGAATACTGAATACACACGTCTTCCTTGTATTTACCAGGCAGGACTGAACGTCATGCTTTCAGTTCGCTCGTATTGTATCCTGTACTGATGCTTCAGGGCTCCAGAGCGGAGAGAACTCCTAAGGATGGAAGTATATTTCTGGCTGATTCTATTTCCCATTGCGCATGTGTTTAGCGTCACTCAAGTAGCAAAAAAATGAAGCCAGTGGCCATCTATTTTTCAGTTCCGCTACGATTTTAAATCATGTAACAGGATTGCTTTAATCTCTTGATAACCAGTTCTGGTACTGCCCCCCTCACTCCTGTCCATCGCTACGTCAAATGTAATGAGATTTTATGGAACCGGAAGATGTAATTCAATGTTCTCAACAGCAATAAACAAACACACACATTCGCGTAAGAATTGACTTTACCCAAATTAGAACAACAGGATACGGCCTACTGTGAAGTAACATTACGTTAAAGAAGAACCTTCTCTTTCCAGGTCTACTTTTCGGTTTTGGTCTATAGTGAAACCATATCAGCGCCTTATTAAGAATGTTAAGCTTACAAATGCCGAGACCAAAACAGCTTCGAGAACAATAACAGCAGATAAGTCATCATAAACGTACGGGACTGTCTTGAAGCGTAACATAAGAACGTCAACCGAGCGCTTTCTATAGTTTTATCTCGCTTTCCCAACCTTCTCTCTAGCTATGGCCCTACAGACTTATTTGTTGGACCGTGGCCTCTTTTTCAGGTTCTTAATCATATACACAGACAGTAGGACTCCTTGGACGAGCGATCAGCCCGTCGCAAGGCCGCTACCTACACACAGAATAAATGCAAACAGACACCCATGTCTCTAGTAAGATTCGAACTCAGTATCCCAGCGTCCGAGCGAGCGAAGACAATTCATGCCTCAGACCTCGCGGCCACTGTGAACGGCATCTCAGCGTACCTACCTGCTACAATACTGTCTAATGACTAGTAAATACGAAATCGTGCTTCATATAATTTATTCTCTCTTTCGGTGTATCAGCGTGCTGTGAAGGGTGGCTCTCTTGATGCTCTGCACTGCTGGATGCAGCCTGAAGACTAGTCACTCCACACTACATTGGTTCTGAGTCTACGGGAGGAACTGCAAATCCGGTTCCTTTATAATAGCGCCATAAATCAGACCCTTCTTCTTGTGCCATGAGTTATTAAAAATAATCTTTCAAGTTACTGATTCATTTCCGTGTAAAATTTTGTCGTGAAAATAATTAATGAGGTTGTTCGAATGCAGAACCGTGAAATTCCGACGTTGCTTTATTTTACGCTGAAAGTAAACCGCCCTAACTAGACAACACATATCAGCAGCGTGTTCTTGTTGCATGAATATACCATGTACAAAGTGACCTCGCTCTTTTGTTGTTAAACATTTTCAAAAATTTTTCTTTGGGTGTTTGGTCCTCGTAAAAGCACACGAGAATTTTACGTATTATAGAGGATTAAACACTTCGAAAGCTTAAAAATTACACCATTTACTTGAGAGGTTAATGAACTGTAATTTTACAGGAAAAAAATATTTATGTTACTATATTCAGTATGATGAATAAGTGTTATTTAGAGTCAGTGAGCAGAGGAATATCCTACACGAAATAAGAAAACGGAAGGCTAATTGGATTGGTCATATCTTACGCGGTAACTGCCTTCTAAATGAAGTTATTGAAGGAAAGATAGAGGGGCGGATAGAAGTGATCAGAAGACGAGGAAGAAGACGTAAGAAGATACTGGATGACCTTGGGGACAGAAGAGGATATTCTCATTTGAAGGATAAAGCTCTAGATCGCATCAAGTGGAGGAACTGTTTTGGAAGAGACTGTGGACCTGTCGTCTTGACAGATTACTGATGAATGAATGAATTAATTCAGTATGGTGAATAGAACACTACACCGTCAGCCGATGTCTGTCTACATGAGCTCAATAAGCTGGTCCGAGAGGGTTCCATTAGCGTCAATGCAGCCAATTTGGCATGCATCCGAGGATACGTTCCTATACTTGGCCTTTTCGGGGATTTTATGTATCACCTAAATGATCTTGATCTTGATCAGGATAAATACAATATGTAACCACTGTTCGCCAGAGATTCATAGAGTGAGCAAATCAAGGCCGAAAAGAAGGCAGGGAATGCAGCAGGCATGGTATAGATGGGAAATATTTACATAATTTTCTTTGAAGGACAGATACTTCTAGGCATATTTGGGATGAAAATGTGACGCATAGATCCATTGCTAGACAACGTCTCGATAAATATGTTGAGGCAAATTCATAAAAAAAAAATGATTTGTAAAGCCTGCAACAGTATGCGACAATAGGGGACATTCATTGGTAAACAATATATTATTTTACGTGAGGTCAGACCCGAGGCTATATAACAGTGATTACGTCTGGCTCCAGAAATTCAGTCCATTCAAAAGTGAGCTATTTAGCAATAATATTACCCTCTACAAAGTACTCATTAGGAGTATAATGACTTAGGATTGCCTCTCCTGGGGTTTGCGGCAAGCAGAAATTTACTGAAATTGCAGCGCCTGCAAAACAAATTTCTCCGCACCATTGGAAATTTTCCAAGACGCATACCTATTCGCAATACGCACATGACTTTCAAACTTCCATACATGTTTGATTATATAAGAAAATTATGCAGGCAACAAGCAAAGTCATACAAAATAATGAAAATACAGATATTCGCAACACTGGACAAGGCGAACCCCGATGCAGCAAATATAAGAGTATTAAGCTTGGCTACGGACAAGCAGGCGACAGTTCAAGTGACTAAGCTGCCGTTGTAGCAGGAACTACTACGGATAGGACATGACCTGCTGTATTGAGCGTGGACTGACAGAGGCCATGTATATATTGTATTTATATTTAATAGCATGTAAAATGTAAACTGTACATGCTGACAACAGTCTTATTACTGCTGACTGTGACTCTGTGCAAATGGCAGACCGCCCTCTCGTCAGAGAGAGTGCCCCACATCGACAAACCTATAACGGTCTGACAGTAATAAAGATCTGATCTTGAGCCCCAAATGGATGCTCTATTCCAAGACAGATTGGCCGACTGACCGTCGGTCGTAACGTAGCTTTGATTTTGTCTTTGTGTAGTTCAGTTAGAGTAGAGAGAGTAGTAGCTTTGACTTTATCTTTGTGTAGTTCAGTTAGAGTAGAGAGAGTAGTAGCTTTGACTTTATCTTTGTGTAGTTCAGTTAGAGTAGAGAGAGTAGTAGCTTTGACTTTATCTTTGTGTAGTTCAGTTAGAGTAGAGAGAGTAGTAGCTTTGACTTTATCTTTGTGTAGTTCAGTTAGAGTAGAGAGAGTAGTAGCTTTGACTTTATCTTTGTGTAGTTCAGTTAGAGTAGAGAGAGTAGTAGCTTTGACTTTATCTTTGTGTAGTTCAGTTAGAGTAGAGAGAGTAGTAGCTTTGACTTTATCTTTGTGTAGTTCAGTTAGAGTAGAGAGAGTAGTAGCTTTGACTTTATCTTTGTGTAGTTCAGTTAGAGTAGAGAGAGTAGTAGCTTTGACTTTATCTTTGTGTAGTTCAGTTAGAGTAGAGAGAGTAGTAGCTTTGACTTTATCTTTGTGTAGTTCAGTTAGAGTAGAGAGAGTAGTAGCTTTGACTTTATCTTTGTGTAGTTCAGTTAGAGTAGAGAGAGTAGTAGCTTTGACTTTATCTTTGTGTAGTTCAGTTAGAGTAGAGAGAGTAGTAGCTTTGACTTTATCTTTGTGTAGTTCAGTTAGAGTAGAGAGAGTAGTAGCTTTGGCTACTGCTGAACAACTAATCAGCTTCTCAAAAGTTACATCAGTACCGCAGAGAAGACAGGAAGCCTGACATAGAAACTGACCATAACACTCACCGGATATGAGAAAAAACAGAAATTCAAACTGCCTTATTAAATGGAGTAAGAATAAATCAAATAGCCTATCAGTGGCGGCATGGCGCATAAAGCTATCAGTGTGTTTCGTCACAGCAAAGGATTGGGAAAGATGATTTCATTGCTTGTCTCTCGAGTGAGACGCGGTTTCACATTGTACTGACTAAGAAAGACCCAAGTTGAAGTATCCAAGTTCCTGTGTTATATATACCAGGGCTGGTGTAATGTTATGCACAGGAGCCAGGGGCTGAACCCCAGTCGATTCGGACATATTCTTTAAATTACTGATATACTTTCGCTCTTCGATTTGTAGATTGTCATTTCATGGATATTTTTCTTTCCCTTCCTTTCAATGCAAGTACTTAATGTGTTCCTTGGGGCTGCGCCATAGCTCAAGCGGTTAGTCGCTGGCTTCCCACCGCGGCGGCCCGGGTTCGATCCCGGGGTCTGGTAAAGTGGGATTTGAGGTGGACAAAGTGGCGCTGGGGCAGGTTTTCTCCGAGCACTTCGGTTTCCCCTGCCAATCTTCATTCCACAAATTGCTCCACAATCACCCTCACCTATCATCTGGGGCTGGTACAATAGGCCAGAAGTGGGCGCAGTTCAAGGGACTTAGTTCCACCCCACTAGCAATAAAAAAAAGTGTTCCTCAGAAGCGAAATTGCTCACCAAAGAAATATATAAGAAGCAAATTCCCGTAATTTGGTAATATCGTATTCGATGTTTTAAATCTTAAATAAAAGTAAAGAGAATCGTGCATTACGAATTAATCTTTGCATTTCCATGAAGGCTACAGCATTTCCACGTTTATTTTCCAGTTAAAAGTCCCAATAAATAAGTGCCATAAGAATCAGGATGCATAAATTAATGGCCGTCGATATAGTTATATAAATAATATATGAGAGTCAGGATGTAGTGATTGATATATTCACATGAATTATATTTGTAGAGTTTGCATTTCGGAATAAAAATTAGTAGACGTAAGAAATTGACGTGAAAATAAATATTCATTCCTGAGAGTTTTTGTAAAACGAATCTTGTATTCTGCAATAGCAATCAGAATTGCAATAAATTGAAAGGACTAATAGTATGGAAAGTGAAATACGTAGTTAGAATTATTGCCGGTACATTTCTGCATACAAAAATTGTCATAGACTACTGAAATAAGTTAAAGTTGTCTGTATATGCCAGAAACATCCCAGAAATGTCGCTTAAAATAGGCAGTGACGTGATATTCCTTGATAATACTTTTACCAATCCGTGGAATAGGAATAGGTTATACAGGATTACTTCCGGTCACGGTAGCCGAGCGGTCTAAGGCATGCACTGTCTTCGCTCGCTCGGAAGCCGGGATCGTGGGTTCGAATCCCACTCAGGGCATGGATGTTTGTGTGCGTTTTTCTGTGTTTGTGTACAGGTAGAGGTCTTGCGACGAGCTGATCACCCGCCCAAGGAGTCCTACCGAATGTGTAAGATCTAGAAAACCCGAAGTGAACGGAGAAGTTCATGGAGGTAGGCCTAGGCCCACTGGGGGTGTAGTGCCAAGGGAAAAAAATACAGGATTACTGGCCGATTTATCCTTTCTTTGCCTGGTGTATTCCAAATATAAATGGATGCCAACATGATTCATATGCTATATTTTACTATGAGGGAGTATCAGTAAATAGGACACAAATGCATATAAAACGTAAAGAAATGTGATTTTGAACCCGAAACAAGCATTTATTTCTCGACATATCCTCCACCAACATTGATACACTTGTCCCATCGCTTTACCAGTGCGTCGAAACCCGCAGCGCAGAAGTCTTCTGACTGTTGTCTCAGCCACTTCCGCACCTCAGTTTCAGCCTCTTCGTTACCAGCGAAATATTTGTCAGCCAACTGTGAATCCCTTCACACGACAAGCACTTCCTGCTCTATACAGGAAATGTTTCTTTATGAATATCCGTCGCATTGCGTCCTTCACCCACAAAAAATAAAAGAGAACGCTGTTCTTCAATAGTATAATCCTCAAGCATGGTCGCCATTTTGACTACTGAAACCAGCCTCTGACGTGACATGAGTGTTTGCTTCGTAGAATATTATGAAGTTTAATTATACTACTAATTAATAATACAAATAGAAAACCTATTACAGCCATTACAGGTGTTTTACTTGCATTTATGACCTATTTACTGACTCTCTCTCGTATAACATCTATGTAAAACTCACACTTTTTGAGAAAGTCACTACTGTAATAACAATTCCTATTAAGCCTACAATACTGAAAATATTGTTCAACCTAATAGGGTTTGCGTGCGATGTAGGCTAACGTATGTCGCATTATTTGCGAAGCCATGCTTGTATTTAAACGAAGCAGGTTTTCATTGTCAGTCCAGCAAAACATTTGTCTATTCCTGGTCTTACGGCTTTCATAATTTGCGTTGATGTTTGAATTAAGCCATTGAAACTACACTACACGGAGTACCCACAGAGTGTGTAATTTTTCTTGGCACGCTTTAGGAATTGCGCTCTACTACATCAAGTTAACCTGTAAGTTGATAAAAAACTTGCCAGTGACTTAATTAATTACACATATATGCTCTGGTTTTATGTGACTGTGAGAGCGTGTCGTAATTTCAAAACGATAAATGTGTCTCGCAGATCAATTGATTCCACCTTAAGAACTGAGTAAGCTCTAGAACCACTTCCTCCGAGACCTGCTGCTGTTGTGGTTATGGTTCAGCACAGTCCTCGTTTCATCAGAAGAGCATTTGAAGATCCACTTGAAGGAGAAACAGGGAAATCTAGCGCAACAGCTGGAGAGGAGCTACAACAGCGGACATGCGAGATCAAACGTCGGCGCCCTTAACTTGCAGCTCATCTCGTTACAGTGTGAGTTACCGCAACAAGGAAACGGCTGCATTTCCTTTTGCGGATAATTCCCAAATTTTGTTGGCATTTTGCGCCCGTCATTGATTTTAATTATAATTTGATGCACATGTAAATCTCGTACTTTTCTGTGTTAACAGCTTTACAGGTATAACACTAACTCACCTGTGGGCAAGCTTAACAGTTCTATACATAATGTCACGGGTAGGGACGTACGCGTGACTAATAATTGTGAATTCTAGATTTGATAAATGAATTTATTGGATATTTCGATTACAATTACACTGGATTTCCACAGTTCACATATGTAACTTTTTCTGGATAATAATCCCTCGTTGTTCTCACTGTCCTCTCTGTCTGGTTGGTATTTAAGTTATGTTTCTCTGTTCCGTACTCAACTGTCGGGTTCTGTATTCACTCTCCTCCGGAACTGTCCTCAACTCTCAGCTCTGCTTGTTTCCTCTATCCTCCGGAACTGTCCTCAGCTCTCAGCACTGCTTGTTTCCTCTCTCCTCCGGAACTGTCCTCAACTCTCAGCTCTGCTTTTTCCTCTATCCTCCTGAACTGTCCTCAGCTCTCGGCTCTGCTTATTTCCTCTCTCCTCCAGAACTGTCCTCAGCTCTCAGCTCTGCTTGTTTCCCCTCTCCTCCGGAACTGTCCTCAGCTCTCAGCTCTGCTTGTTTCCCCTCTCCTCCGGAACTGCCCTCAACTCTCAGCTCTGCTTGTTTCCCCTCTCCTCCGGAACTGTCCTCAACTCTTAGCTCTGCTTGTTTCCTCTCTCCTCCAGAACTGTCCTCAACTCTCAGCTCTGCTTGTTTCCCCTCTCCTCCGGAACTGTCCTCAACTCTCAGCTCTGCTTGTTTCCCCTCTCCTCCGGAACTGTCATCAGCTCTCGTCTCTGCTTGTTTCCCCTCTCCTCCGGAACTGTCCTCAACTCTCAGCTCTGCTTGTTTCCTCTCTCCTCCAGAAGTGTCCTCAGCTCTCAGCTCTGCTTGTTTCCTCTCTCCTCCGGAAATGTCCTCAACTCTCATCTCTGTTGTTTCCTCTATCCTCCGGAAGTGTCCTCAATTCTCAGCTCTGCTTGTTTCCTCTCTCCTCCGGAACTGTCCTCAGCTCTCAGCTCTGCTTGTTTCCTCTCTCCTCCGGAAATGTCCTCAACTCTCATCTCTGTTGTTTCCTCTATCCTCCGGAAATGTCCTCAACTCTCAGCTCTGCTTGTTTCCCCTCTCCTCCGGAACTGTCCTCAACTCTCAGCTCTGCTTGTTTCCTCTCTCCTCCGGAACTGTCCTCAGCTCTCAGCTCTGCTTGTTTCCTCTCTCCTCCGGAACTGTCCTCAACTCTCAGCTCTGCTTGTTTCCTCTCTCCTCAAGTAATCTGTAGTCTGGAATTCTCTCATATTCTCTTCTTCTTCTTCTTCTTCACTGTGCTGTCGTATTCTCGCTTCACTTCTGCACTTCTGAACTTCTGAACTGACGGCTTCTCAAGTGGCCTACTTTTATCCCTGCTAGGCGTCTGGGGTAGCAGACACTTCCTTGAAGAGTTCTATTTTTCATTTCCGTGGTAACGGTCTGCCTATGTACGCGTTGTCACGTGAATATGTTCACAATTGTTGCCCAGGCAACGTTGCGTTCACTGTTCTCTGCTGCATTAGAAACATGACTACAGAGCCTTTGGCTGGCAATGGACGCCCGCTCTGACTCCGATATTCCGGCTTTTAGGTCGAAAGTCACAATATAAAAGTGACACACATGAATTATCCCCTCCCCCCCAAACACACACGAACTTCTTAAATACACTTCAATTTGAGAATGTGCCCAATTAATATTACTGCACCGGATTTCTTCAGTAATTCTTGTTATGTACCACTTCCTCGTACGGAGAACTCTTTCTGCAATATGAAGTTCGATTTGAGCTGTATGTAGAGTGAGGGTCACAGGGCACATATGGCGGCCAAAATAACAATCGGTTTGTAAAGGTTAATATGAATCTTTGATAACAAACTTATCCACAATCCGTTCACTGGTTTAGAGAGAAAACTTGAGAGTTATGGAATTATTTTTATGGTAAAACTTTTTCATTCATGCCAACAAAAAGGCTTAAATTTTTCCCAACTTTAAACATGGTAAAATCGAATTTCAAATAATGGAAAATTTGTGTTGATATATTTGAGTTCAAATATACACACAATACAAAATTTCTGAAGGGAAAGGAAGGTCCAATGTTCGCAGAACTACCCTGTGTTCTAATGTTTCCTGCCTTAGGTCTCTCTTGCACAGACTTTGGCATGTTGGTGCCATATGTCTGGTTTTCTGTGGTTCAAGGTATGATGAACTCAGAAGATTACAAGAAAGGAGACTTCAATTAAAAGAAGAGGTAAGTAGGTAGTGTAGCAAATTGTGGACCTTTCCAGGTGTCTAAATGCAGAGGAAGAGGGAAAGAAGTTCGGGGAAAAACTTCTGATGCTTATTTTTCCTATTCGTATATTTCCATCTCGACAGGGAGGCCTGCAGAATTTATAAATTAGTAATCATACGGTTTAGGGGTATATTTCAGCCCATAATTTCCTCCTGCTATACAGTTGTCAGGCATAACCTGCAGTTTCAAACCGTCACCGGTTTTGTGTTTTAAAGTTTGGGGTCTAAACAGTGATAACAGTATATTGACTCCGTACAGATTTATCTTTAGAGACACGAGTGTCACTTGAGCCTGTGAGTTTCGTGTAGCTTCCACTAACTACAATTTTGTACGAAATGCCTGCGTGGAGTAGCACCCAGTGCCATGGTGTTCATATCAAGGCTACTTAAAACGTAATGTATCAGTTCAAGCGGTATCAGGGAGATACGCTCACATGAATATGCTGATGATACCACATAGGTAAAGTTAGGCACTACACCATGAAGATGTACGGAGAGTGGATGTATAGATCCACATTTCCTTGACCTCGGCACTAGCTGGATGTGAGTGATCAGCTTCACGCCTCAGCCGCTTCACCCCCCAAGGTGGCGTCCGGATGACTTGGAGAAGGGAAAACTCTCTACACAATCGGGACCCGAAATCTGAGCCCCCGGTCGTCCAGCCCGTACCAGTGGCTATACCGGCTACTCTAGCCCGGCTCTGATGACATCACATGAATTTTCTAATTACCTAATGACAGTAGATGTAGAATGATGAGGAAATGTAATGGCCAATTTGAAACGAATAATATGGGACAGAAAACAGAGTTGTCACGTGACTGGCACACTTCTGGAAAGCGTACAAGAATTTATCAGTTGAAGTGGACAGATATCAGTACGTAAGATCTGAGGTTTTCACGGCGGTGACTACGAACAATGCCGTCTTCTGGGATGTGGCACCATATAGATATTGTGTAAACCGACGTTTCGGAGGAACCTATCGCCTCCATCTTCAGAGTATAAAAATCCGCAAGCTAGGAACCAGCGTGAGCAGGTGCCACCTGTGCCTCTCTCCTAGGCAGATTCAGTCTTCAGTTCATGCCCTCTTCCTGTGTTTGTTATGTACAGATGCATAATTTGGCCTTCAGAGTCCACTCAAGCTTCCACTTTTGGCAATTACACGCTCCCAAGTCAGTGAACCTTTCCAAAATTCTTGTGAAGTTTGAGGTGTCAATATAGGTGTTTCCACAATACCTAGGTTTCTTCTGAGGCACTACCTCGAGACGATGACGTGAGAAACATAGGCGAAGACGCAAGAATAATATCGACTATAGACGGAGTTTCGTATAATTCGATTTACTGACGACTTGCAGGTCGTAACTACATATAACTATAACACTAACGCTGATTTCCACACTTTATAAATCAATGCACGCTGTCTTCTCCAGCCTGCAATGTCTACACTAGACTTTTCCTGGTAACGGATTTTAACACTGTCCGCTTACGTACTTACAGTCTGGCACATATCCCACAACTGAACTGAGATCTAAACTTGCCGCAAGGACCACGTAGAAAATACAGCTCTTCTATTGTAGAAGCGTGTTCGGTGCGGGCGTTGCCTAGTAATGGCCGGGTCTATATGCAACAATATTAAACGCGTTCTGAATAAGGAAATGCGATGTGATGGGGTGGAATGCATTCAGCTAACTTGGGATAAGGTGGAGAAGCAATTGCCGAAACTGCGATTAACGTTTCGGCTGTATAACAAGCCGAAGACTTCTTGGCCAAGTAAGCGAGAAGTTTCCGTTCTTGCAGTTAGCAGAAGCTCGTCGTGAAGAGTTGCCAGCGTTGCAGAGCAACTGTTCTAAGTGATTAGCCGTAAATTCTGTTAACTCTTCGTTCGGATAAACGATGCGCCCTGTGTGTCAGGTTTAGTCTACGTTTCACCTAAGCGGGATTAGAAGGCCGCGGTGAAGTCCTGTCTCTTCATGAAGAAGAATAAATGACACATTTTGGTTGGAATGAAGTTTCACGTCATGTGAAGTAGACCCTAACGAGAACGGATTTCTGAAAACTGTGAAATTCTTATTGCGATTTCAGTGGAATATAAAACAGGCTTCGAGATGATAAAGTAGTTTGTGTAGCAATATAATGTAGCCTAACTAGTACCAGAAGGTAAAGTTTTTCGCGTTAAAACATCGCACCAAATAAAGAAAAATTACTCGGAGTTTTAACCTCCCCCCCCCAAATGACCATTTCATGTTTCTGCAGCATTGTCTTTCGGAAGAAGTCGCCGGTGCCCCATTAGATATGATTCTGGGTGGGCCCGTAGCTTGTTATCATGTAGTGGGGAGACAATCATTGCCCGTATTCTGAACTGAACCCCGCTCTTCTGCAAAGAGTCTTGACTGCATGCTTCGCACACACTAATAGTAGTTCTGATCAAGTTAACGCATTCAAAGTCGAATTTCTGAACACAGAAATCGCCAGCTTGGGGTTAACGTATTTGATCGGCCACTCCATCATAGATTTCCTTGCGTAGCCTGTAGACTGGAGGATATGGACCTACTTTGGGAATTGCATCGAGAATAGTGTGCAATTATTGATTTT